CTCCATTCCCGGGTAACCCGCCTTCATCTGGGGTAACCCGCCTTCATCTGGATGACGCCGATGGATGAACCTCCACAAAATACGCTTATATGCATGTCTACTTAACAGTTGGGGATGACATTTCGTGAAACTTAGTGAAAGGCCTGACAAGATTTTCCGTGCATATTTAACTACTGCTGGAATGCGGACATTAGCAGGTTCTCTCACCACTGTCAGGGTGCGGAGTCGCTAGCGACAACAGGGATAAGGGAAACTGACATTAACAAGGCAAGTTCGTGGTAAAAGGCTCGCGGAAAACAGAAGTACAGATTTTAGACGTCACCTGTGCAATGCCAAGGGCCTGGCCGGCTACGCCAATGCGTCCACCATCTAGGGTCTCCATTGCTATCTTGAAACCCATGCCCTGCTCACCAAGAAGACTTGAGTGCGGCAACTGACAGTCTTCAAAGGTCAGAGTGCAGGTGGACGTGGCCCGGATACCCAGCTTATCCTCCGACTTCCCCACCACCAGACCGTCTCGTGGTGTCCGCATGACAAAGGCCGAGATACCCTTGTGTTTCTTGGCGCGATCTGTCGTTGCGAAGACAATGGCGGCCTCCGCCTCGAGTCCATTTGTTATCCAACACTGGGAGGGGGAGGGGCGGAAAAAATAAATAGAAGGAATAAGCACCGGAAATGGGAGGGTTTTACTAACACACATACACACAGATGTCTGATAACACATCCGGACACCCTTTGTCTTGGAACTAGAAATAGATTTAATGTGTACTATAGCATAACGAGTTAAGACCAATATTCAAAAATGGGGTCTTAACCAAAGCAAGGAAAAAAAGTTAGCCCTCGAAAACTGACAAAAGTATATATGTATATGGTGGCATATATGCGTACACTGAGCTGTCAGAGGACCCACTCGTCCGTCCATATTGCCATTAGAGCTCTCTCGAGCCTCCACCGCAAGGCGGCTAGAGTGCCTTTAGAGCTCTCTCTCTCTCTCGAGCCTTCACCGCGAGGCGGCTAATTCCAATATTGCCTTTAGAGCTCTCTCTCGAGCCTCCACCGCGAGGCGGCTAGGATACAGGCAGAAGGACATTACCAGCAAAGACATGGGACACTAGGAAGGTCTTTTCTGTCTCATTAGGTTTCATCGGCTATTGATACCCAACCCCAGTGTGGCCACTGAAATTGTTGCCACACCGAGTGGGATGGAGGATAATAACGAGATCACATAGAATCAAATCAAAGGTCACGCAAGCCCACCAGCAGCCAACCTCCGGGAGACCAAATGCGGTCGGCAACGAACGGGCAGATCAAAGTTCACGCGTCCAACACCGATATAATTTGAGGGAGACGGCAAGGCTGGCTAACTCAAGACCACTAAGC